CTTGTTGCGTAATGTCCTACGACCTTTCTCAGTAGAAAATATCCACTCGCCCTCTCTAAAGCACAAGCATTTAACGCGTTCACCATGACTAAGCTTCATAATGGACTTCTAACAGACTCCACCAAACTTAACATGGTCCGCCCACCGTTCGATATCTTGTCTGCGTCGCCACGTTGATCTGCTATGCTCTCTCTTCTCGGACTTCTCTACCACTCTCCGCGCTCACATTATCTCTCATCTCCCTGCCTGTCTTTTGAACTTCTCCACAGCATGGAGCAAAATGCTCGTATTTCCTGTGTATTTCAGGATTTTCTTTCCTTTTTTCTCCACTGGCGGTCCACCTCCCATCCCTACTTTCACATTTGAGTGGAATCACCCCATCAATTTAATCCTGATTCTTGCCTTTAATTCACTAATACTTTCAACCAGCATTCCCCTTTGCTGGAGCAGGGCGTGTTTTGCTGATCTACTCTATGATATGTACTATTCTAGAAAATTGGACCATGAGGCTTCCATCACCATTGAAAGCCAGTTTGAAAGCGGACCTCGCTATTGTTTCCACATTGTTGATGACGTCAATGTCAAGACATTCCGCAGCTACGCCGTATTTGTTGTTCCTCTAGGGCGGTACGTTATTTCTTCATCTGAAACTGCCTGCGTTTTGAAGCTGAAATGTATAATAGTCTGGATAACTTTCATACTTTACGTTTCCCATAAAAAGCCATAGTTGGATTTCTTATGGTTGGACGAATATAAGCTTCTCGCATCTATCTTGAAGCTTAGTCATGGTGAAGAGTTAAATGCTTGTGCTTTAGAGAGGGCGAGTGGATATTTTCTACTGAAAAAGGTCGTAGGACATTACGCCAACAAGCTGAAAAGGTCAGTCTCCTTTGTAGAACTATGGAAACGTGGTATCACTTGAGAACCCTTAATCAGAAATTCCATTTGTTTTGTTAAGGATCGTCTAGCTGTGGTGACATTGTCAAGATCTCAAGCTTATTCGTCGTTGAAACAAGTTCAGGACGAGTTGGGTCCGTTTGCCACAAGGTTCGATCCACGTGAGAATGGTGGCCTGGTTGGTTAGATTTTGCAGCATCTCAATCAGTCTTTAGGGCCTTTTTCAAACTTCCAACTCCTGCTCCTGCAAATAATGTACTCGTTGCGCTTCGCATGCTTGTCCATAATCTACTCAACACACTTATTCTTTCGCGATTTTCTCATTAGGCCTGCAGGTTCTTTTCAATGCTAGGCTCTGGATAAGTTGGTTGTAAGAGCGTTCATAATGGAGCTGAGAGGTGGGGAGTGGTTTTGAAATAAAAAGAAAGCAAAACAAACTCCCGATCACGCTCAGAACAAAGTATCCCTCTCAGCCGTATTCCACCTTGGGATGGAGGAGAGGCGTGAGCGGACGAGTTTCACGACCGGCTACCTCCAATTACCGCAGTACCAATGGCGAGCCGCAATGCTAACGCTGTCGGAACCGCGAACGCGCTCTTCTCTCGGTGGCAGCTTGGCAGCAGACGGCGGAAGGCGGGGCTTGCAGACGAAGGTGTGGATTGCGGGTCGAGCAAACTTCTAGCGCCTTTGTCGCGCACTTTCAAGCCGCGAAGGGCCACGACATCAAAGCCTGTCCGCCTGTCTACCACGTTGGGGATGGATTGGTGCACTTGCCTAATCCCGGACCGTGCCTCTAACAATAAATGAACCGAATGAGACAACTTTATAGATGAAGACTAGCATGCAAAGTTATAGAGGACGCTCAACGATCTGTAGTTATAATATTGTGATGAAAGCAGACGCTCGGTTCCGTGTTGACATGCCACGCATTCGAGTGAGATTTGTGGTGCATCTGAATGCACATTCTGTTCATATATTTGCGGGACTCACTCGATTTGTTAAGTTTGATGCTCGATTGACTGGCGCCCCTGGGGAATTCACTCAACCATGGAGAATGGAAGGATGAGAGGTCCAATCCGGGCCTTCATTTCAGGAGCGTGAGTGGAGCCAATTGTCGCTGCCTTACGTTCTATTGGTTGATACGAAGGATTACTACCATTGCCGACTCCAGTATTATTGGAGTTGTCAAAGGAGGATTGCACGATAAGGATTGAGGCCGAATAAGGAAGAGGAAGGAAGAAGGAAACAACTCAATGGACAGGCGGACCTCCTAAGGTTGCGGACCGACACGCAATTCGCATCGAAGGATATGCCCCCGGCGAACTAGCATGGCCTTCCCGCGGCGCTAGTTGGCGCAGTATCGCCCCCGCCTTCCCTCGCTGTCTGAGGTTCTAGTCCTTCAGCAGAGAGAGCGTTGGCGTTTTAGAGGGCAGAAACAATGCGATTCACATCAATGTGGAAATCGGCGAGCAGGAAGGGATCACATCCACTCCTCTAATTTTAGGCAAGCCGTTTATCTGTTTTTGTTTTTTCTTGTTCATTTCACTTAACCACTTAGTTTATTCAATGGGCTGCTTGTAATGTTAAATACCGCTCTGAAATATATCGTAAACAGTTACCCAGATCGCTTGAATCGCTGCTACCTCTCTCATGGGCTTGATGCATGGCTTTACAGAAATGTAGTAGCGCAGCCTGGGCCCGTAATTGGTGTATTCGAGGTAATTCCCACCAGTCAGGAGCACTTATTGCCCGTATTGCGTCCCAACTCGATGGTGACGTGAGGGAGTCACGCCGTGAGACCACATGATTCCATTTCTTTTTATTGGTAGATTGAGGCCCATAATTCAAAAAAATTTTCGTTTAAATTTGTCAAAGATTGAAAAGGAGATGAAGGCGCGATTGTACTGGCTCGCAATTCAAAAAAAAGAACTATTGGTTGTCCAAATTACCGATTTAATCTGTCACAAATGTTGGCGGCGGGGTCACTCTTCCTCTTGCATCATAATCTGTCACGTTTAAACGATTTGTCCCTACTTCGAATTTTAGAAGTCGAAATCAATTTTTCTTATACACGCGTCACTCATTGCGTGGTCGCTCCACCACTTACTTCGTACGGGGTCCCTTAAGTCCGCTCCAGTGTGTGGAGGGTGGATTTTGGAGTTCTGTTTTAGAAAGTGAAGTTTCGTGTATGAACCTTTTTACGCTGCCTCTAGTGATCAGAAATGGCACATTCATGTGAGGTAACTTACGTGCGCAGTGCCTTGCATTAGTTCCAACAAAACAATTTCCCCTTCCCCCCCCCTCTTTCGTTTTCTGTTTTTTTCCTTCTTACTTGAAAAATGATTAACTCTGTTCATATATAATTGCTCAGATTGACTTTCTCTCTACTGGAAGTGTCGATGTGCGTGTGACGAAGGCATCCGGTGAATCTTCGATAAACGGAAAATGGACGGTTGAAGATGTCGCCGTGGATGGCCAGGAATATAGGCGGCTAGTTTTCCTACGGCAACGCCAGTAATATGGTGGTCACATGTAAGTCAATATTAAGTAAGTGGGCCCTCTTTTCCCATGACTGTTCTATGGAAATGCTCGCAGACAGATATAGGAACTTTACAATATCAATTTTCTAGGTAAAAAAGGTGGGAAGAAGGCGGTTGATCTGGAAAACTTGAGTTGCGACCACCACACCCTCATGCTGTCTGGACTAGCCTTACTTCCTCAAAATCCTTTTAGTGATCCAGCTACAGTACAATAACAGTGATTCATTTGCTATTTCTTTTTAGTTGAAACAATAGTTTGTCAAACTTACTTGGTTTCAGTTTACCGTTTTCTGGCTTAGGAGGTGGTCTTTTAGCTTCGTTTCTTTTAGGCCATTTACCCAAGGTTGGTTCTATTATACGTAATTTCAGAGCTACCGTGCGTTCATGATTGTTCCTAATTTGAAGGCTTCCGTAGAAGGGGTCGAGCTTGATCGTGACGTGGTGAATGTGGCGATCCAGTGGTTTGCCTTACCCCATCAAGACGATCACTCTAGACACGAAATGAGCGTGAAAGTGCGATGGAATGGCTCTCAGTCTATTCTGGACCAGAGCCGCAAACCGAGGAGCTGATGCTTCTAATTTCAAGTACTCGAAACTTCTAAGGTCAATCGGGCGATCTGTTTATCTCTGGAAAAACGTGTTGTTGTTACGTAGCACTCGGTGTGGCCTCAAAAAGACCTCCAACAGATCAAGCCTTACGGGAAGTCATGCCGCGTATCAGGTTATCGATATTTTATCAAGGCTATCGCACACGTGCCATTTGCATAGGCTTCCTTTGCAGAATCAAGCAATTGTCTTTTACATTCCCATATCATCAGCAGACGTGAAAATGTGTCGTCGCCGCGTCCTTACGATCTTCGCTTTCAAGGGATTCGCTAATACAAGCTCCTTTTACTCTCCGCACATCCGGTTTCATACAAAAACGTCGGTGTGAGAGTAAGAGTGAGAAGAAGAGCTGCCACCACGCAAATCTTCCTCGAAATCCTAAAAGTTACAGAATGCTGGGATGTGAACAACTCGAGACTCGAACTCGAACTCGCACCTCTTGTTTACTGGGCAAGTGCGCACTTGCCCGCTGAGCATAGAGGTGCGGGTTCGCCCGGCTGGGGTAAAGTTTGTTCGCATCAAGCATTCTTGTGAAACATTCGCAAGGCGAACTGCGGCCAAATACAGCAGTTAAACAACTTAAAACTAATGTTGCATTGCTGGCTGCACTTTCATCCTTTCAGGTATTTAATATAAACCGATTGGCGAAAAAGGAAAAGCTAGTTTAAATCGCTAGTTGGACTCCTATATATCACATAGATTTCCCACATTCGGGAAAGGCACTCCACATTGTACGAAAGGCAATCAGTACCCTGCGGCATCGCTGAAAACGATTGGGTCAATTGCGCACGCTGCCAGTCCATTTTCACTCAATGAAATCGAAGGGGCGACGTCAACCTGCAGGAAAGAAGCTTTAGAAACATTAAAATCGCTTTTCAACAAAATGTTAAGTCTGGGCAGAACACTCGGTCAGCAGTTTCTAGCCCGTTTTTTAGGTTCGACTCCTGGCTGAGACAAAGTTTTGCCAGTAACTTGGCTTTCCTACAATCACTTTCGACTTTGACTGACTTTTGATTTTTAACATGTATCAGGTCAACGCTTGGCATGTTTTTGCTTAGAGCCTTACTGTAGTTCTAGGGTAATCAATTTAGTACCTCCCCTTTCTAATTATTCATGGACTTTTTCGCTACTATGGTTGACTTGAAAATGGAAAAAAAGGCTTGTAAATGGGATACTGCAGCACCGGCAGGCAAAGCTCTAATTAGATATGCCCTGAGCTGATAGCGTTGTTGGAACGGTGTTCGAAAGATCGCATAGGCCAGTAAGCCGTCAGGGCGTATTCGATATAGTCATCCAATTTTTATATTGGGTTGTCCAGGGAAATCTTGGACACTTTGCCAAGATTTATTTATTTGCACCTACTTTTGTAGAATGAAATATTTAAATCAGCAAGATTATCACCATTATCATATAGGAGACCTACACTTTTCCCGGGCAGCTTCTCAACTCTCATACTTTAGGTCTTCGTGTTTTGCTTTGGAAAGAAACGATCGATTCCATTTTTGAGTTGACCTCAGTCACCAGATCTTTTATCTTCTGGATGACGCTTCAGGCACTAATTACTCCTTTAATCAGAAGGGTCTAAGCCCAACGAGTAAGCCAAGCACTGCGAGATTTCCCATTCAAAATCCATGATCTTTTGATGACGTAATCCATTGTCACAGGTAGATGTGCGTGAGGGTAGGGTAACACAATGTTGTACATTTCTGGGTGAACTACGCATGGCTGGTCAATTTTTCAAAGCCTAGTAAGAGCGACATGTCATCACCGCGGTGCAGGTATCCAGTAGCTCTCTGTGAAGAATCAAAATGGAGCCTAATCAGAACCATCAAAAAAAACCCTTCTTTTCGGAGGTTTCTGCAGATAGTCACTCTCAGTCGAATCCAATAGAGCTTATGTGGACAGATTCCTCGAGGCTTGAGCTGTCTTCCCTAATCTTCATTTTTGTCAAGAGATTCCTTTGGTGCGAAGAAAGAAGAAAAATCTTTACCATCGTCACACACGTCGCCTCCCCAGACTGGCGCAACCCATGTGGTACCCATTGCGAACATGCTGCCCTGCAACCAAGAACGTAGGGATTCTCGATAGCTGTCAGTTAGTGCACCTCAGCGTTGTTGCTAACTCACGACTGGTAGCAATCGGCTGCGCCTCTGGGAAGTTGAGTAAACGCTCACCATTCATCACTTACAGCCAACTAGAGCAGTGCTTCATTTTGAGTCAAATATCTTCCGGTTGGAAAGCCTTAGGGACAACGGGACACCATGGCCTGCTGAACGAGTCATTTTCTGAATACAGTACAGATGCTAGCTTCAACGCATGCAAGCAGAGTGGCTTCATATGAGCTCCTCAGTTCAGAGAGAAGTTTGGTGCCGTAAAACTTATGCTTGGTCAGCCTTGCATGTACCGCACCGCTTCTGCTGGAACCTTCGAATACACACTACAGTAAATAAATGCCGAAACAACTGAAAAGGGTTTCGATTTTCTCCTACACTTATTTGTTCAGAGTGTCGTAGGATTTTCTGGACAACAACTACATCACATACTTTCATCCTTGCTATCCGAACCGCATTATTGATTAGGATACGAAAAGCTGCAACAACGCTCTCACCTCCGCAATCTGAATTAACCTAACGTCAACCGAGCATCCATCCAGCACGAATGGCCGGATAATAGATGTACATAATTTTAGATCTATTATTCCGGCCATTGGTGCTGGATGGATTGGTTTCCTTCCGACAACGAAAACACACACGTGAGCTTTAAGTGCATCTGTCCTCCTATCCATATGAAGCAAGGGACACAATGTATTTGACGGTCTTCGCTCGTTAAACTCTTATCGCATTCGCCTATTTCCCTCCACGGCACCATTGATCAATGACTAATCCATTATCACCTGTTAGTGGGAATGTTTGTCACGGAACACGAGGGAACAAGCGATCTTTCAATCATGATGAAATTAACCAATGCATTATTTTCTTACACGAATAATAGGTTAAGGGAACATACAGACTTCCGAAGTGCCAAACATGTCTTAAATGTTCTCCAGCGCAAATTTATTTTGAATTCGACAATTCCACAGAAAAATGCGAAGAAAATGAAGAAAAATCCAGTGCCAAAAATGGATGTCACATTTTTAGCACTGGATTCTCCTTGCAACGTTTACGAAATTTTTGGCACTGGCGTGAAATTGGCGCCATTTGGCGCCAGCGCCAAAAATGGATGTCACTTTCGTGATCAGGACCCTCGATAACCCCTGTAGGATAACTGAAACGTTTACGAAATTGGTTGCAACGTTTCCGAAATGGAATGCAACGTTTACGTATCGGGGTGGAAAACCCTGTAACTCATTGTATAGATTAGAGCAAGGTGCAATAAATGAATAAATCGGAAGACAAAACAGCCATTTCTAGATCAACGGCAGAGATAAGGCTGCAGTTTCAATTTTCTTTGAAAGGTTACACGTTGTGAGCATCTAGAACTAAGAACTGCATCAATCTATTGGGGAAACTAGTGAATCAAGAAAAAGCTGTATTCGTTCGTATTTATAGATGAGAAAGAGAAACTGGACGTTTTGTTCGTGGATTTGGCTGGTCCCGTACATGAATCGGGTCTTAGCTGTCCACCGGCCGTTTTCCTTACCGATCCTGTCCTTTGTAATATGAAGAACTCACTGAAATCAAATGGTTAGTTCTCGGCGGTTTTATGGATAATGTTCAGCACTGTTTGACAGAGTTGTCAATATAATTCAGTGGTTGTTATGTTAATGTTCGATTTTATAGGTGTGATCGCCATGAATCTGGTTACAAGAGATGAAGAAGTGGCGCAGAAGGCCAAACGTTCTGTGGCCGCACAGTTCCCCGTGTTGTTCAGTATTCGCTCCGAAGAAGATGTTAATGAGGTACAAAACCTATGCATGGTTTCCATTCGATGATTCATCCACAGAAATGTGATGTTATCACAAGATGGGTGTGGCCAAAGCTTGTTGTGGATAAAACATGTTGAGAAGTCAGCAAAGCGGCAATGAAAATCCTCGTTTTGTGTGCCACTTCGTCCAAGCGTGTCGTCGATGAGCGATTGTAACTGAACTGAATCCATAGAGATTGACGCTTCCTAGTTTCTGCTTTTTAGAAATTTTTAGGCCTTACTTTATCCACACACCAAAGCCATAAGTTCGAGCTATGTTATTTGCATATGATCTGGAAGCGTTCGCAATTATGGAGACAACATATAAGGATCGAATTTGTAGTCGCGGAGTAGTCGGCCCTTTTCTAGTGTTTAGCATGTCAGCATTGTCGTTGCGAGTCGGTGGGTCCAGGACAGGGCTAGAGTGCCACTTGGAAGGAAATCCCGGCTGAATTACGAGGGACAATAGTGCAAACAGTCAACTCCTAGTGACCGCGCGCTGACCACTAAGTACGGAATGAACTAACTACCCTAACGGCCAGCTAACTGACCTTGGCAACCACAAACCGACTTTAAGACACCTAACTACTAAGTGAGTAACGTGTGGGTTTTAACCCTATTGCTACATAACGCTAACACAAGTGATACTAAGTATTTATTTATGATAGAACTACTCTTATGTATTATGAACTAGTGGTTAATACAAGTAATGCATACACTCAAATAAACTAATCTCACTTCGTTTCTTTCGCCGCCGACGCCACATAAGATGAGACTAAGAATAACATCCAGAATAGTGTTCTAAGGGCTGACGCCCTGAAGGGGAAAGAACCGTGATGACAGACGGGGAACACCGGGACAGGCCGTGATGGTGCCGTTGCGAACGGCCCGTGCGTTTCCGCACGATCACGGATAGATCGTAGTGGGTCATGTCTGCAGTACTTCGCAGGCGCCGGCGCGCCCAGGGTTCCGTTGGAGCGGTCTTTGCGGTACGCGACAATTGTAGCACAGTGGAAGAAGTGTTCAATTGCCATGCTATCTCGCTCATCGTGTCATGCTGTAATCAATACCCTGTCTTTTTTGAAATTGTTTTTTGCTTAATAGTAATTTCCGTCTTTGAGTTCACCTCAGAAGTTGGTAAAGGTCTTCTTAGTAACAGTTTTTTTGACGCAAAATCTTGGGCAGGAATAGGGGGGAGGATGATGAAGAAACGTATGTAAGACGTCGGTGAATGAACGGGAATAGTCAAGTCGCCAGTAGGTTGGAAATCCATAACCCAACCCCGCTCAGGTGGGACCATGTGCAGCGCATGCGCTGCACACACAAATTATTATTTTTTTCGCGCATGCGCTACTTCTTTTCTAATTTTTTGCATCTATTCTATAGACCACACCATAATATGACTAGACACGGCGAGGTTCATCGAATGGTTGATGCTCCTTTTTAGCGAAGGTTTTCTAAGCCTACGAATTTCCCAATTGTGTTCATTCCTAGTTTCCTTTATATTCTGATAATCTTGGTCATAAAAAAGAGTAGTAGAAGTAAGTACAGACCCACACATATAGCAAGACATATGTTTTTAGTGGAGCAACCGCGTCAAAAATAATTTTGAGGTTCACTACAGCAAAAGCAACTGAAACTTGCCTTTTCATTGCCAGAAAACGTCAATTCGATCGAACTTTTACAGTTGTTCCTTCTGATAAGTTTGACACATCGAATATCATTCGAAACATTTTGTTGCATCCGAGTTTTGCGTAGTTAAAGCTCAAAATTCACGGATTTTATGTGAGGCGGCGGCGCCTGCGGAATGCGGAAAGAACAAAGATGTACACGGGGGGGGGGAGGCAAAAAAGTCACTTTGCCCATGGCGCATATCATCAAACTTTTCGTCGCAAAGGATGCCGCTGTTATTGGGAGTTATACGGCGAATATTCCTTAGATGTCCCCCATAAGCAGAATCAGGCCCACCTTCGCTGCCTTCACCGTCTCCAGAATATGACGTCATCTGTCATCACCGTCGAGCTCAAGGAGGCCTACCATAATCGCTCCATTCTGAAGCTGCTACATAATTTCTTCAATCGGATAACTGGTGAATGGCTTCTTAGGGACACTAGCTCTGACTATGCAAATGGCTTTTGACCAGCGTTTCAGAGACGTCGTAATCGTCTATGGTTTCTCGACGACCTCGTTGAGCTCGTACCGTGAACCATGTTTCCGTGGGAAAATCTTCTGATGTCGTCGGTGTAGAAAGCCCCTATGCTTTTTTGCTCCCCCGTAGTTTGACCTGTGTTTTGTGTGTTCCTTTAGGTGCAGGCTGAGGCACTTAATCTTCCCCCGTGTTCGTCAGTGAGGAATTGAGAAAAACGCTGAATGAACATATTTATAAAAGGAGTAAAAAACAGATCAGCCCTTGTGTCACCGTCATGCTCATCGAATGTCCTCGCGAATCATTCGAGATGAGTTATTGCCCGTTGAAGATTTCTAAGATTTTACTAGGAGTGGAATATGGCGTATTATCGAGATGACAAGATGCTACTTTCTTCACTTTCTAGATATTACTTTACTTTCTCCATGATTGTTGTATAATCAGGAAAATAATATCATTTTGATGGTGACGTCATGTACTCATTTGTAGAATTGCTGGATTGGCCGGCCTTTGGATCTTCTCAGTGGAAATCACTGATGGCGTTGAATTGAAGTTTGGTATTTCTAGGTTCTTTTGGCGTGTGCGACCCGAAATGAGAACTTCAACGCTGTTCAATTTGCTCGTTCTTTACGAAAAGACATCCGTTGGGTGAACGCCCTTGAACCCGTCATCGCGAGGATTACTCCCGTACCTTTACAGTAATTGCCTTCTTTATCTCGTTATTTCCATCGGTTATTGTTATCAGCATAGCTTGCATTCGTAGTTGTTAATTGTTGTCGTTATTGCCTGATTTGATTGAATTTTTACTTGAATAAATATCGCATAATAGTCAGTCGGAAATCGTACTTTTCGGAGGTTATTTTAAGCTGTTCGCTGTGATTTGGCAATGCTTGCTCACCGCCTACACCACTTCGGCAATTTGTATGTGCTTAGACGCTGGCAAACACCTTACCTGCCGCCTCATTGCAACCGGTCGCTGGTTGAAAGTCCGATAGTCTCATTTCTGCTCAACGAACTTCATACTCGTCGACCATCAGTTGGTTACGCTCCCTACCGGCTGGATTGTTAGCTCACCTTTAGTACTATTTTCGATTGTTAACTGCTGTTATTGGCCTTCGCAGTGCAAAAGTTATCACAAAAAAATTGTGGGGAAAACTTTTCGCCCAGGCTTCAAAACCCGCACCTCTCGCTTTCCGAGCAGTTGTGCTGTTAATTATTTAGTTATCTATTATGTTGTGACTTTACCTAAAAATGCTGTAGTTGTGTAGTCGGTATCTCAATTGCCCAAAAAGCCACAAGTGGAGATTTGATTTTCGCCTAGGGAGAAGAGTTTTACCCATAACCCGGCATCCTTGTTTGAACTTAGTCTAAGTTTCTCCGTTACCGTCGACAGCGTTACCGATCGGCAGCCTCCAGGCTGCTGTGAACCGAAGAGTCGTTCCGGGATTCAAATGGATGGCCAGTAATCATCGCGGTTCATGATCGCTGTTTATTACTGATAGTTCTGTGCCTTTTCCGTGGTGAACTCAGTAATTCGCGCTATAAAAGGAAGGGATGAATTTTTGCGTTGATCCGTCCTTCGTGGAATTTCCCATATATTCCTTTTTTATTTACTAAGAGTCGTAGTGCGATTTGAAGACGAATTTGCATGCGATACAGCCTCACAGTGATTTGCTGGGAAACCGTAGGAATGTTCTGTTATCTTCGCAAACGGGCCTAATTCCAGTGAAGCTTTGCCAGAATTGGTTGGCCGGCGAGCTCCCATCAGGCATGCCAGCTCGGGCCTGCACACGTGATGGTTTCTGCTACATTCCGTAACCATTCTAATCAGGAACCTACACCTAGTCAATGACCAAATAACTGTTCTTGAATATCATTCCTCAAATTGGATAGAGTATTTCCTAAAAGTATAGGCTCGCCCCATTTTTCGTCGATATCTCAAGGAGAAACAAATGATTACTTTCAAATTTTTTCCGGCAGTACTTTAGGGAAACTGTGCTGATAGAGTTTAAGTAGATTCCAATTGAAACAGGTGGTTAGGTTTTTGTTTTTTTTTGAGAAGAGAGCGTGTAGAGTTGAAGAAAGCACAACGATGAGAGTCGCATCAATGCGCAAATCAGTGGACAAGGAAGGGGCCTCATTTCTCAGATTTCGGGCCGTTTCACATGGCTTCTTCTTCATCCCTGCTTCACTGACCACCTCTATCCTTATTTTCAATGCGCTACTTTCGGCGTAAAGTTGCCTTGGGGACTCAGCTGCGTATGTGATGGGTGGTTTGGGAGTATTGCTGGACGGTTTTACCGTCTTTAGCGCCTCTGAGTTATCGGAACTTCCTCTACCTTGCCGATATTCCGGTAAGTTAGGGCAACAGGGCCTATATGTTTTGATTGGCATCAATCTTGACCTATAGGGGTAGAAAAACACTTCAACCGCTTGTTTGAGGAGCTCAACGAATAAGTTTCGTGCTAATTTGAGTCGCGTGTATATTCGTTCTTGTTTGGTAATAAAGGGAGATCTCCCATGATTTGAAATGTTCCTTAAAAACGGTGATTTGTGTGCCGTAGGAGCTCTCACGTGGGTTACAGAGCTGTAAGCATCACTTTTCTGAGCGAGCCCTGAAAGCTAAAAACAGGCACGAAAAAAATTTGCTGAAATGGTTGGGTTTTCACAGTTTTCGCTAAAAAATAAATGTTGATGGTTTGTTAGATGGATCGTGCAACATTTTTGGCTTTGCGAGTATTTGAGAATTTGGAAGCCATCTGAAATGCAAAACTTTGCTTAGGAAATCCTTAGGAACTGGACCATTTCTCTTCTGTTTCTGGCCTTCACGGGGCCGCTCAACGGAAATGGACCTCGGTATTGCTGTCACTCAAGTTCCATAACATGAAGAAAACTTTCTTAAAAAGCTACCCTACAAAAATCGCCTTGTACGTCGTCACGAGGGATTCTTGTTGGACACCGGAGGTGCATAAATGCGTGTGCGGCCAGCCATTGCTATTACAATCAGCAAATTCGTGTGGGAAGGTATCTTGTTCTCGAGATCATGCTGGTTTATTGTTCCGTTGTATCGATGCGTCAGATTTGACTTTCTGTTTGCGCTATTCCAAACCACTTTCCACATGCTGTTTAGCACCATGTAGGAAGATCATGTGAATCTTTACATCGGTCTGCTCACGTACCGCTTTAAGAAAAGCACAGGATCTGAAGTGAAGCGCCATATGTAACGTCGATTCTATATATTGCGCACACTACATATACGTGGCCTAAGACAGTGCTTTTTGTTACAATGAGTAGGCGTGACTTAGTCACGATGATACGGGATTTTTTGAATACTACTGGCTGGTTTGTTGCTGATGGAATCTCTCTCTACCTCTTAGCAGTGTTTCGATTTTTTGTGTTCGTATTCTATGTGTAAAGAGTCCATATTGGAGCTGAAAAATCTGATCGAGCTGGGAAATCATCCTACGTTTCTTCAAAGGCTAGTAACTGCCATATCCTCATCAGCCTGAAGTTAATCTTTTTTTACTGCTATAATTTCACTGCTCTAAGCTGCGTTTCGCCTAGCCTAGCCTCAAAGCAACATTCCCAGCAGGCTTTTTTTCCCTCAACTAATGGTGTGGAACGACGCGCTAGCCCTAAAAAAAGTGTAGACTAAACGAAAAACTCACCTTGTAAAGCCGCTAGAAGGGGAGCTGAACGGCTTCGAAGTGGGCGTGCTTCACCCCCACTTCGAAGCGTCACTCCCATTTCCGCGGAACTTTCCAAGGTGGAGTTTTTTTTTTTTTGTTCACTCACACTTCTTATATTCTTGGCTAGGGCTAGCGCATCGTTCCACACCATTAGCGTTTGAGGGTAAGGAGCCTGCTGGGGCTGTTGCTTTATGTCATGTGAGGAAGGAAAGTGGCAACATCATTCTCACCAACGTACAAGCAAAGGTCAGTTGTCACTTCCGGCCATTTCACATGTGATATGTATATACCTTCGTGCGTATCTCGAGAAGCTGATCTCAAACTGCTTCCGTTTTCTGTGGAACGATTTTTTATTGATGTTATGATGCACGAAAGCGCAGCGAATAGGGACCCTGAATCGCAGACAAAGGGTCGTGGGATCGACTCCAATTGGGTCCGCACCTCTGCTTTTCCTGAGAAATCTTGAGTCTTTGTATCTATATTTCTGGAAAGATCAAAAGCAGGATTGGCATTCTCATCCCTCTACCTCTTGCACGTAGCGCAGGGTCACTAGCCCTGCGCTTTTCCTGCTTATATTTCGTTCAGGTCGTGCCGACACCGTTCGAATCAGATTTGACAGTCCAAGGCATGTATGAAGGAGTATGATTTATAGGGCCAGGTAGACAGTTGACTTTCTTGTTGAGAACAGGAGGGACTAGGAGAAAGAGAGTCAGGTAAAAAGTATAGAGAGGAGAGAAAGAAGTAAAGAAGCTTCCCTTAGTAAATCAAGTGGACCCATACGTTTAGGCAGAATAATTTCAAAAGACAAAAAGCCTGCTTGTCTCTATTTCATGAAATGTCACTTACCAACATAGCTCCCCATGTGTATTTATCCAAGCTTCCTAAAAGTTAAGGTTAAGTTTCTGGACGAACATTTGCTCTTTTTCGGGGTATTGAAGATAGATTGGGTGACCCTGTAATTCTTGGGGCCTGTGTAGTTATGGCTGTCACTTTATTTTGGAACTGGTTGGTTCGACCTTCGGTCGTGGAGGCGATCGTTGGTTTTTGCTTACGTACAATATACACTAACATTTGAGCCACAAGTCGGGATTAGGTCCTGAGAGCTGGTCTTTTCTAAAGTGAGAAAGAGGTGGTCTCCAAGGGCAGGAGGCACGACACTGTCGCGACTCAAAAGTGCGAGGCAACGGCGCTAAGGCCTTGCCTTGTGTGCTGCCGTGCTGCCATCCTTATCAACCACGGCATACGTGGTCTCTGCGCCCTCTCGCGTATCTCGCGTTTTCCCTCTCCTCGCAGCGCTGTGTCTCTCCGTCATACCACGGCCGGCCTCACAAGGGAAATTTAGTGTTTTCTATGGTGCTTTTTGCTTTTTCTCCCACTAATGTTCCTCATTGCACCCTTGCTTAATTTTTAATAAATAACAAACAATCCAACTCGTGCCTTTCTCCTCGTGCCATTCTCCTGTTGCGGATTGTGCGGACGGGTCTGGTCTGGAGACAAGTAGCGTCGCTAGATATGAAACACCAATCTGTCGTATTGGTGATTCCAATCCATCTAAATAGTCTGCATAAGTTAAAAACATCTCAAGGGAAGGAGTAGAGGACAGAGAAAGGAATTGTTAAACTGGTTGATGTGATTGGATCGTTAATCTAAGACGTTAGTCACACCCTTTTGAAACTTGTTAATAGAATTCCTAACCACACCCTTGTTTTGGGGAATGTATCAAATCAAACAGGTCGAATCAAACTGAATTCACCACAACAGGCAGGAGGTCAGCCCACCATACTGTCCCTCAGTTACTTATGCTTCGTCTGATTCTTCGCTTTTTCCCGACTTAGATTAAGTTTCATGAATCGGCACGCCAACCTTCGTTTACGGCTTGTTTGAATACTTGTAATGGTTTTTGTTTGGTCTCGAATAACGTGGGATTTAAATGACTGCAAACATTTTGAAAAATGGACCATGTCAAAAATTTGTGTCATCCTGATAATTCTTTGGAATTTCTCTTTTTCTCTT